TTCAGCTGCTTGTCACCAAAATGCAGCATTAAATTGGTGATTCTTTTCCTGTTACCGCTGCTGAAATGGCCTAAGTGTGGCATCTTGGAAGGTTCCAGGGAGTTAAATTGGCTCCTGGAGGCACCAAAATGGCTTATCTTTGCTATAAGAAGCAAAACTGTGTTGTTTTGGGGGGCTGGGTAGGTAGAAGGCTCGACTTATTATTTATATTACATTTTCAATCTGCCCCACAATTAATGCTTTCTGGGCAGTGGGAAGCTGAGAAATCCAAAGGGAAAGCCTTGGAAGGCTGAGAAACAGGGATTGCAAGAATTCTGAAAGGAAGAGTGATGGAGGAAAAGGCAGCATGGGAGGAGGGGAATAACGGTCCAAGAAGAAAGGAGGTGATTGTGAAAACTGTATAGTTGTGGGAAGGCATGGATTTCAATTTCTAATTTGGATTAATAATGAAATCTTGGCTGTAGATCCCCTATCTGACTTTATATCCCAACATACCCAGCTTCAGATGCCTTTACCTCTAAATAGCTTTATTTCCTAGTTTTCCTTATCCTTGCAACTCTTTACTCCAGCCACACCCATATTCGTGCTTGTCTTTCTTCCCTGAAGCTCAGGACCCTGAGTGCTCATAAACAAATTTTTACCTGCTGACTACAATGACACTAGTCAAATATCTCTGTCTGTTTTGTACATTATTGAACTCATGCTTTAAGATATAAAAAGCAAGAGTGAGCATATTTGCATTAGAATATTTCTGCTGCACACCTGTGTGTGCTAAATGAAAATGAAGTCTTAAAAGCATTATGTTGCAGCATTTGCCTATTACCCAATAAAATTGAGTTTGCCTGTTTATCTCTGCCCCAATAGGACTGGGTGACCTCATAGCAAAGAGCGGTCATTAAAAGCAAGCCAGCAAGCAGCAGTGCTGAGAGCATACAGCTAAAACTGTTGGGTTAGCCCAGCTATTGTGCTAAAGGCATCCTGGATGTGTAGTCCCTTAGGAGCCAGAAGCCCCTGGAAAGTATGGACTGGCCAGTAGGGTGCAGGAATGATTTTAGGAAATGCAGCTTCTCTTGTCATGGTGCTGTTAGTGGGGCTGGAAGTGAGAACAGGCTAAATGACTGCCTGCATTGGTATGCAAGAGGAATTCTTGCTTCAATTAGGGCTTACAAACTAATTGGCACTGCACTCTCATTCTACCAGCCAAAACCAAACAACTCTGGACAATTTAATTCCTCCAAAGGCAGCCAACAAAGCAGAGGATCATTTTGACTGTGTTCTGAAAAGGGCAATAGCTGTGTCTTGACTAGTCCCATCCTTCAACTCATGTGACGTACTTATTAGAAACAGGTTTCAAACACACACACACGCACACACCACACACACTCACATTCCAGAAAGACTTGTGAAAACTCAGCTAGCTGCACTTAAACCTCCACAATTGCTAAGGGCTAATTAGATGCTCTTGTTTTCTCACCCTTGCCAACTATAAATAGTTGAAGGAGGCAATCTGTATGAAAGCATCATGATAACATTTTTCCATACCAGTGTTAACTTCTGAAAACAGCTCAGAGAAACCTTCTTCCAAACTATATATATATATATTCATGCAACTGATCTGCAGTAGGCAAACCATTCAAAATGGAAGTCTTAGACTTCTGAACTAAACTTATTCCACTCCTTCTGTATTTCAGCTGAAAAAAATGTCATTCTTCACATGATTATGGGATTGGGTTATCATTGATTAAAAAGGTAGCTGTTTGCAAATATAGCAGCGTACACATATCTATTTATTTACTGCTCATTATAAAACATTCCAAAAGCATAGAGAGTGCTCACAATATTTACAAGCTGAAGGAAAACTTGAGACCTCTCTGTGGTATTGTCATTTAAACCAGGATGAGAAAGGTCAGGCCCCTCCTACATCCCAACCTGGAAATCTGCAGAAAACAGCAAGGCAGCTATGGAGAATAGGCAAATGCATGCAAAATTAGCTTCGTTTGGGGAATGGGACAGGGGATGAAACCAGCTCTGAATGAATGAGGGACAAGATGCTTGGCCAGGAATGGGGGTCATTACATGATAGCTGTCGAAATGAAAGGAAAGGACATACTGCTAGAAATATAATATGTCAAGTCATCCAAGAAGAAAGAGAATTGGAAAATATCTTGTTTCTTTCAGGAGAAGGCAGGGCCTCCCAAGGTCCTGTTCAGCTGGGTCAATCAGAATCCAACCTCATCTGTTAAGGCATAGGATTGACATCTCTGCTAGAGGGACAATGCTGGTGCTGGGCCCCAACAGCCTGGCAGGGCCCACCACTGATGCCTAGTCTTCCAAGCTTTGCCAGACAGCTAAGTATAGCTGTCATTTTAATGTCCTACAATGCTCTAGAACAATGCCACAGCTTGGGAGTGCTGTGGAAAATTAAATTGGCAGCTAGACCAGCTGGCACAGTGTTGCTTGCAATGTCACTGCCACTGCTTATCATTTATTCCAGGTTATCCTGCCAGAGTCTCCCAGCAGAAGGAGTCAACAGAGGGTCCTGTGCTGGTACTTGCCATAAAGAGAAAACCCTAACCACATATCATTTCTATATGCCATTCAATTTAAATAGGTGGGGATCTTAAATTTCCAGGTAGGGCTGAGAGGAAGAAACAGAGGAATGAAAGAAGCCCGCTCGGGCAATTTGAAACGAGCACAGTGGATCTGAAAGCCTTTGATGATACTGAATGTCTCTATTGATTCACCACATATTGAGGTCATCACTGGGTCTAGGCTGTGTTGAGTCACGCTTTCATGTGTAGGTGGTGCCGGCTGCTCTGTTTTTCCAACTGAGATTAACTTGTTGGACTAGTTTGCAACTTAGTAGGGTATTGTATTTTAGGAACATAGCATGATTACTTGGCTGCATTCTTGCTAGAGATATTCAAGTTCACTTCCCGTTGGTTCCATTCATTTCCTATTAAAGGCAATCAATAAGCCAAAAGTATCTAGGGCAGTGGGGCACAATTAGAACACGCCTTGTGGAGGGAAAATATAGCATGATTGGAGCTGTTTCTTACATCGGAAAATTTCTTAGGTTGTGTACAGACGCTTATAAAAATATGCCAATGAGACTCAGTTCTATGTCTCTCATCCAGCAAATGCCAGAAAGGCCTCTAGAGATCTTGAACCATGGAAGGGGCACAAGAGACTGGATGTGGGTGAATAAACTGAGGCCAGTTCAGACAAGATGGAGGATCTTTTGGTCAATAGACAGACTAGTCCTGCTCTAGATGAGGTGGTACTCCCACTGAAGCATCATGTACACTGCTTGGGAGTGTTCTTGGATCCAGTGCTGTGGTGGATGGTCAGGAAGTGGAGGCGAGCACGGGTGCCTTTGCCCAGTGCCGGCTGGTGCACTGCATCCTTTCCTTGGAAAGGCAGATCTGATCACAGTGGCCCATGCTTTAATCACTTCATGTTTAATTTAGCAAAAAATAAAACTCATTTCAGAAACATAGAAACAGAGTGAGTCAGAAGGGGTCTCCTGGGCCATCTAGTCTGACCCCTGGCTCCAGCCAGCTCCACTCATGACATGCCTATCATGTGAATGTCACCTTTTAATATCACCTCACACTCATTCAGTGGAGGAGGGAAGCAGAAGTGAATTAAATAAATTAATTAATAAAAACAATTGGGAAGATTTTTGAAAAACATTGTACACGTGCTTCTCATAGCTGGCATCTATATAATCCGAAAACACGTGGCTCCATTTCGCCTTTTCATCTTCAGCAAGTGAGGCTGTAGATGCACCAAACTGGTGCCTGGCTTTAAGAAGAGACTGGATGAGGGTTAACAAACTGACACGCGATCCAGAAAAGACTGAGATGCTGTTGTTGGTTGGTTCCTTTGACTAAATAAAGGGTACTCAACCTGTACTGGATGAGTACCCTTTATTATTTATTATTATAGAACCCTGTTCTACTCCCCTTGAAAGAACAGGTTCCTAGGTTGAGGATCCACCTTGAACCAGCTGTGTTACTTAAGTCTCAAGAGGCCTTAGTGGTACAGAATGCCTTCCTCTAGTTCCGGCCATAGTCCAGCTATGCCTCTAGCTGGACAGGAATAGCCTGGTTTCTGTAATTTACACCCCAGTAATCTCTAAGCTAGACTATTGCAATGCATTCTTTGTGGAGATGCGCTTGAAGACTATTCAGAAGCTTCAGTTTATGCAAAATACATGAGCTAGACTAATAATCAGAGAGAGACTAATAACCAGGTCCAGAACATCTGCACATATAGCACCAGTACTTAAAATCTGGTTGTACTTCATGCAGAATAGCTGGAGTTCATTTGAAGAGTAAATGTGAGTAAAATTTTCTGCATTTTTTTAGAATATACCTCCAAAATCTACCATTAAAGCAAAACAGGACAAAAGAGAGACACATTCCAAAACAGAGGATTTCTCCTTATAAGTAGATGTTGTTGGAGCTTATAGTGACAGTCCAAAGCAAAATGCATTTATGAGGAAGCAGAGAGCTGAAGCTGCATTTTTTAAAATGCGCTTTCACAGCTTTAACACTCAGTATGTTATATTTTTTAGTCTTTGTGTCCCAGTGAACTGTGTTTATTCTCACTTATTGGTGCTTCATTCTCAGAGGTCCAGCTCATATGACAGTACTTACTCATTTGCTTCTGTTGAACCCCCTGGTCACCTCAGGAACAGCCTTCTTGTGAGTCTTGCTCACAATTATACCTTTACTCATGAGGAGTCTTTCTTTCCCCAGGCACTCGGTTCAGCCTCTGGCAGCTGGCCAAGCCAGAACTGTTAGAGGCTTGCACTCCCTGGGCTACATGGCCATTTGGCATCTGCTTGTGATCTGAGAGCGGGCTAAGTACATCAAGAGAGGAATTATCATCTAATCGAGAAATCCAAGGAGGGAACATGCACCTGGGCTCAGGAGGTTGTGAATGCCTCCTTGAGAGAGGGAAGTGTGGTGCCAGCTCCCTTAAAGGTAGCCATGATTACACCACTCCTGAAAAAGCCTAACCTGGATCTGGGTGATGTGAATAACTATAGAGTAATAGCCGCCATTACCTTCCTGGGCAAAGTGATCAAAGTGGGTTGTTCCAAACACTCTGGGAGGCAATGGATTATCTGGATCCATATCAATTGGGCTTCAAGCCTGGCTTTGGAATGGAAACTGCCTTGGTCACCCTGTGGGATGTGCTTTGCTGGGAGAGAGATGTGGAGAGTGCGACTCTATTGGTTCTCCTGGACCTCTCAGTGGCTTTTGATGCCATCAACCATGCTGTCCTTCTGGAAAGGCTGGCTGGCTTGGGAGTTGGTGGCACCCATTTGCTGTGGCTCTGGTCCTACCTAGCAGACCATCTCCAGATGGTGGTGCTGGGGGATTATTGCTCTGAGCCATTATGCCATGGAGTACCATGGGGCTCTATTTTATCCCCCATGTTCTTTAACATCTACATGAAACTGCTGAGAGAGGTTATCCAGAGGTTTGGGCTGAAATGTCAGCAATATGCGGATGACACTCAGCAGTACCTCTCAGATTAGATTTTATCTAATCCAGGTGAGGCAATGTCTGTCCTTAAACGGTGCCTGGGCTTGGCAATGGACAGGATGAGGACCAATAAGTTGAAGTTCAATCCAGATAAGATGGAAGCACTGTTGGTGGGCAGACTGTCTGTACAAATGAGAAATTTTCAACCTGCCCTGGACAGAGTTGCAGTCCCCCTAAAGGACAAGGTTCATAGCTTGGGGGTGCACCTGGACCCCAAGTTGTCACCTGTCTCTCAGGTGGACTCACTGGCCAGGAGTACTGTCCTTCCGTTTAGGCTGATTTTTCAGCTACATTCCTACTAGGATGAGCGGAGCCTTTCCACAAAGCCCCCAGACTTACTTGAATCACTCTCCTTCGCTAATTTCCTGCTTGCTATCAGTGCTAAAGCTCTGGCTCTGAAGCATATGAAGAAGACTGTGGTCCAGTGATTGGCAATGGTGAGAAAACATCACTTGACATCATCTCAAAGAAGGCCACACGAACACAATCAATCAGAAAAGGTCTGCATAATGTCAGGATGTGTGACATCATGCTGCATTTTGCAGTTCTAAACTGTCCTAAGGCTGGCTGAGTGCACCACCCAGCCAATATAACCAAGACTTGGAAGACTTTCAAGAGTCAAAGAGCTTTGGAGGAAAAAGTCGATATCCTTGGCAGGACTAGTGTCAGAAGTATACCAGTTGGTATCGCTAGGCAAAAAAACTAGCCACCACTGTGGTACACAGAAACCAGAAGTGAAATGAGAGCCTCGACTATTGGGAGGTATAAAAGGAAAAGGAATTAAATAAATTAAATAAATAAACATCACCGATTGCTAGGCAGCAGGGAATACGTCAGAACCAGGAGTGCCGGCATCAAGAATCAGGCAGCTATTTCAAAATGGCAAGAGGAACACATTGTGTCAGGGCGGCAAGCTCTAATTGGTTTAATCAGTAGATTAAACAAATTAAATCTTTATTTGAGTAAGTGGAGGGAGAACATGTTAATCAGCAGCACTGAGAATAAGGGCATACTTGTTTACAAGCCAAAGCTATTTTAGCTCTGATGAGTTACTCTAATGAAAGGGGAGAGAGGCCATTCCTCAAGGGAACAGGGGACATGTTTTATATGCAGAAGGTACCAAGCTAACTCTGTGGTATTTTCCTCTTAGAAAGGGTGAAGAAGAGCCAGTGTCAGTCAAAAGGTGGAAGCACTGGCCAGGGCAGACTTCACCAGTCTGGTACCTACTCCCATAATTCCTGGTCAGCCTGGAGGATGCCAGACTGGAAAATTGTGGACTACCTGACCCTGCTGTACAATGCAGCTTGCTGCATACAGCAAAAGAAAATACTGCACATTATTTCTCTCCTGGTAGCTGTCATTTATTAAATTGCTGTCGATCTCACATTTCCTTCAGTATCTCAGCCTCCCCCACCTATACTAAATTGAGGTTGAGATGTTATGCAAACTCATTCAATCAGCTGGGAAAAGAAAGGAGCTCATTAATCAAGGAAAAACCTTTAATCTGTACATAGGGCAAATACACTTACGTATGTTGAGCCTTGGTCCCTGGGTGGAAGAAATACATACCTTGGGACACTACAGTAAATGGAGTAGCCATTCCCCACCCATTGAGAGATGTGGATCAGCAGAACTCAAGCTTGCTGAAGTCCTCCAAATTCCATACAGACTCAAGCCCATATTAGATTGTGTACTTTCTTCATGAAAATGTGTTCATAGTTTTGTGCACATTTTTTCAATTGTATGCACACTGACAAATGCATTTAGGTTAATAACATTGCAAACTCAGAAAGGTACTTCAGCCAGAGGTTGCATCCAAGTCCATGTTCGATCCAGGAAGTATGATTTGAATAGATCCCGGTCAAAAATGAACTGAAACTAATTTCTCATAAATCCCTACATGCCCACAGCAAGAGGAGCGCCTTACCTACATGCTTCTCCTTCCCAAGTGCTATTCTGTACAGCCACCTAGTGGTTGTTCCTGAAAGCTGCTGCATGGTGAAAATGAAAAGGGTGCGGGAAGAGGAAGAAAGAATGTACAGAATGGGGGAGGTACGCAAGGTATTCTGTACCCCATTCGCAAGGTACAGAATGGGGGAATTGGGCATAGTACTAGTAAGGGGAGTTGTAAATAGAAATGAATGGGAACAGGCTGTTATGAGATTAGTAATAGTAGTTACATTTCTATACTACCCAGTTATGAAAGCTCTCTTGGTGGTTTCCAAAAGATTAATTCTTAACAAAATACAATATAAAGCATATATGCAATTTTTAAAAAACATTTAAAATACTGAAGAGTAACGTCCTGGGACCTTATCATATGTTGTCAAGTGCCTGGGAGTAGAAGGAAGTCTTGACCTGGTGCTGCCAGGATGACAATCGGTGCCGGAGGAGCACCAGCGGGACGGGCAAGCCGGGGCTGATGTGAGCTACTGTGCCACAGCATCCGAGGGCAACATGTGCCACACCCCTGCTTGAAATAGAGCAGTTGGGGAACAAACAGCGTTGCCAGTTGCATCTGGGGTGCATTTTCAATGTTCATTTATAGTTTTATAAGGACCACAGCAGGGCAAACTCATGGTTGTTGTTCGTTTTATGCATTTATGTATATCATTGCAATGGCAGTAAGGGTTCCTCAAAACTCAAGGATAAGTTTACATTGTTGTTGCTCTTAAGTGTCATCAAGCCATCTCCAGCTTATGGCAACCCTATGTTAAAACTGTATTTCAGTATTATCACAAGTTGATAGGAGCCAAAACAAGTGAGGGTGGTGAAGTTTGAAGCTGATGGGCCACTGCCTTTCTTTTGCTCATGCACAGTGTACATCACAACAGCGGTTGTAATAGTGTCTGTGAAAACACGCATTCAATTTTCTTTGTGGGTATGTGCACCCCTGGACACACTCTTTAGCGCATGCCAAGCAAAAGCTCTTCCACTCACTCTTCCCCTTAAAGTATTTTTCAGATGCATTAATCTGCCACTCCTCTAACAAACAACAAGTGATACAGTCACTTCTTGCCTCATTAATACACTAGCATGATGTTATCTCTTGTTTATTTTCATTTTTGTAAATTAAGTACCTTGAGGTCAGGCTATAAAATACCTTTTTTGTTGTCAAATAATCAAAAAGATGAAGACATGTCTCTTTACATTGGAGATTTAAAGCTTTAATATGAACGTAACATAGAAACATAGAAACAGAGCGAGTCAGAAGGGGTCTCCTGGGCCATCTAGTCTGACCCCCCGGATCCAGCTGGCTCTGCTCATGACATGCCCACCATGTGCATGTCCAGCCTATCTTTGAACACCTTCACCAATGGGGCCTCAACCACCTCCTGTGGAAGCCCATTCCACACCCTCGGAGTTCTAACTGTCAGGAAGTACTTCCTGGCATCCAAATTGAACCTTGGTTCCTTGAACTTGGCTCCATTGAAGCGCATCCTGTCTTCCTCTGCAGGGGAGAACAGGTCTCTACCCACCTCTGTGTGACACCCCTTCACATACCTATATGTCACCAACAGATCCCCTCTGAGTCTCCTCTAGGCTGAAAAGACCCAGTTCCCTCAGTCTCGCCTCATACGTCTTTCCCTGCAATCCGGCCACCATCCTTGTGGCCCTACGCTGCACTGACTCTAACCTGGCTATACCTTTCCTGTAATGTGAAGCCCAGAACTGAACAAGACACTCCAGTTGTGGGTGTACCAGAGTCATACAGAGTGGTAGTAATACCTCTCTCGATCTAGAAGCCACTTGACGGCCACGTCACACTGCTGACTCATGTTTAGCCTGCAGTCAACCAGTACCCTGAGATCCCTTTCACGAGTGCTGCTCTTCATCCACTTGCCCCCTGACCTGTACTTATAACACTCTGTTGCTTAACTTCATATCGAACAAGATTTTGAGTAGGAGTACAGTTTAATAGACTCCCTATTGAGGGCAGTGTGAGGCAATAACAGAAATACAGCACAGATTATAATCCTCCTAGAACATTCATGCAGAAATGGGTTGTCAATTCTGACTGAAGTTATCCCTTGAAGTTTCCACCCCTCACACGTACACACACACGCCCATATTTTGCCTGCTACCAAGCTATTAAAATCTCCAGAATTGCTTTCTTGGTGATTGATGTGGATTCCTGGAGACGTTAGCATGGTAATCCTACTGCAGAACTGCCCAAAGTTCTATTATTATTTCAAAAACAGAAATAATATTAAAGACTGTATAACTAGATCACTTAAGACTACTTGCCAGCTCCCTGCTTCACCAAAGATTTTTTGAGGACAAAAGGAGACAAATATGGCCATAATCCCTGGAAGGAAGGGTGAATGGGATACAAATCTGGATTTCAGAGTGAATTAGAATCTGTTCTTGAAACTTGTGACTTTTCTTCCTAGTGTGGCCACTGGTTCCTATGGGGCTCTGCCCTAATAGAGAACAGCCAATCAATTTATTAAAACTTATTAATTATTTAGTTACTATCAATCCAAGCGAAGTAGTGCTGAAGGCTCCCTGGGTTTATGTGATTGGCTAAAAATTGCCCTACTGCTCTTGGGACCCACTGATAATTCCCTGAGAAGAGGGTGCCACAACTCAAACTAGTTATTACAGTGTAGAAAAGGCATGGAAAAAAGCACCGGACATGGACAAAATTGCAACAGAAATATTTTAAAGTGTTTTCCATGCAGCACTAATAGATAATTAATATATCCCAAACTGAAGCTTGGGAACAACCTCAAATTTGCATTTCAAAATGGCAGTGGAGGGCTAATCTACAGGTAAGTGACATTTCTCAATATATTCTTATTTCTGTACTTTGTAATTGTGATTTGGGTATGTTAATCAGTTTTCATTTCAGAGTGGAAAACAGTTTCAAAGGCTTTTCTGAAGCTTATGGAAACAAAAAGGTCTTTACCTGGAGCCAAAAAGGTCACAGCAGAAGCACCGGGTGAGTCTCTTCGGAGGGAGCTGGGATAACAGCACTGCAAAGGCTCTCCCTTTAGTAGCTGCCCATCTCCCTTTATCAGGTTGGACAGCCAAAGAGGCCCTTTGGAAGTAATATTAGAGTCCAGCTGTGCATATATTGGAGGAGAGGCTTCCCTGCTGTAGCCTGGTCCCAAGCTGTTTAGGACTTTATATGTTAATACCAACCCATTGAACTGGGCCTGAAAATGGACTGGAAGCAAAAGCTGGTGGAAATAAAGTGGTGCTGTAGGATTGCATTGGTCATACTCTGTTACCAACTTTTGTACATGTGGACTAACAGAAGTTTCTGGACTATTTTCAGTAGTATAAAAATGGCAGTATAAAAATGAAATAAATACTGTAATCTATCAATATACTATCATCAATGATACACACAGAGAGATAACATTAATTCAGTGTTTTGTAACAGAAATACAGATTAGATAACTTATGAATATTAGATAAAATCAATCAAAATACTTCTAAATTAGTGAAATGAGCTAAACTTTGAGTTACTATCATTACTTTCACGCTTAATCAAAAAGAACTTTCATTGAATTGTTACCATTTTGTATAAAGCCAAATAATTCAAGTCACTTGCTTTTTAGAATTCAACTCTTAGAGAAAGAATCCAATCAAAGCACCGATCCTTCAGCTGTCCCAGAGGAGCATATGGAGGGTAAACTGTCCAGTAATGACAAAGAAGAAACATATAGAAAAGAAATGCCATATTGCACAGGAGAAATTGACTTCATGGCTTCTGGAAAGAAGCGGGGAAAGGTAGTAAGGCACTTCTCCACTCAGGAATTAAGCTTGAATTCTGCTGCGTGTTTTGAACAGACATTTAAGATCGGGTTTAACTCTGAAAGAGTTCTAGGAAAACATTGGATGAAATGTTTTTAACCTATAATTGCTAATTTTAGATATGACTAGTTGTACAGGTATTCTGGAAAATAAGTGAATTTAGAAATTTCCCTATGCAAATGAATTTGTAAAGGGTCAGTTACAATGAATTTTTCTGATGTATTTTGTAAACAAACTAGAAAGGTACCCCATATTAATTTTTGTTCCACTAGACCAAACATATATGAAATATTAGGGGAGGGAAATTAAAATAGTGTTAATGCAATTTAAATGCCATATTATGTAGACTTTTTAACAGAGATACTTGTACAAATATAAAGTCAGTAGCATGCACTTTCCTTAAAATATTTAATTAAAAACAAAGAAAGGTACTAACTGTTGATGCACTAATCTATTTTAACAGCCTAAAGGACTGTGCAGTAAATGTTGAGAATCATGCATCACTTACAACAGAACACAATTGTCTTTTGCTAGGAATGCTGAACTACTTTCACTCACTGTCACTACCTGTACCCATTAGTACTATTTCACACTGAGGCATAAGTATATTTGCTCACATACTTGCTCAACATAATCACTTAAAGAAACATCGACTACAATTTAGAAACTGCCAAGCCTGCAATTGATATGCATTCATTGTTACTAGTGAACTTATGGTATCAAAACATATCCATGGAAATATAAAGCACTGGAAATTTTCAAGGAAAAATATCTATTTGGAGAATTTTTTCTCCACATCTCTGGATGCAACAGAGCTATAATCCACAAGCCTTTGCCTGACAGTACTCCAAAAATAAGCCCTTCATATCAATTTTCTGTGTGTTTGGTCAGGAGTCCCTCTGAGTTCAGTGAGACTTACTCAAGAATGGAGATGCACAGATGTTATTAAGTCAGTTCTATCTGTTTTTTCTGGATTGCCAGGCATTGTTAGTTCCATCATTAGTTCATTGATGGGACTGGATTTTTCATATAAGAATATACTTTGCAAATGTGCATTCAGATTTATGTGCACTTGCAGCAGTGCACATGTGTGGAAATACTCCCAATATATATGAAATGCTTCATAAAACTATGGAATCTGCACAACTTGGAAAAAGCCAGCCCATGGTCAGACGCACAAAAATCCTATCTCATTTGACTCTGTCGCTGTCTTCCCTCCCATTGCTACTCACATAGATTGCCCATTTCAGTTTTAGAACAGGGAACCACAAACATTTTGGATCTATGGGCAGATCTGGAGAAACAGTTTTAAGTACCACCACAAAGTGCCTTCTGGGGAGGAAGTTACTGGGGGTGGGGGCTCTAGCTATTCAAAAAGGGTGAAAAGAAAGAAACAGTAAAGCTAGAAGCTGGGAGGGAGGGCAAAATAGTAAGTCAAAGGGTTAGAAGGAAGAGAAACAGCAACCTGAGTTTAAACTGGGCTTGTGGATGGACAAAGCAACAACAATACCTATGATCATAGTGGCAGTTTTTAAAAAGTGTAATCACAACTGTATGGAGTTCCATTCATGGGAATTCTGGATCCAACCCAGTATGAAATCCTTGTAAATGTGGGAAAATAAGAGATCTGATATGTAAGCCAAGAAATGCACACTATTTTTCACCAAATAGGGTCCTTTTCCTTGCTGAGGATCAATTAATAAGAAATTAGTCCTTCCCATCATGGACCTGTGGGAACGTTGGCACAAGTAATGTACTACAGCAAGTGAGTGTACCACAACAATGGTGTTACTCGCATCCTTTCCCTAAGGGAAGCAAACACACAAGGGTGGGCCCTGGGTTTCTTCACCTCGCTTCCAGTCTTGCCTGAAATGGTTTTCCTTGTGTTATTTCCCAGTCTTAACATGACCAAATATTAACTGTTCCTTCCAAACAAATGCCCAAGATCCTTCTTGATGTGTGAGATGAGAAGTGGAACCCCCCTTTGACAGTCATATGGTTTCCTACAGCTCTTCAACAGCTTTTCTGAACAGCTTTTTTCTTGTTTACAGTTTATTAAGGTCCCATGTGCCATCCATCCTGGAGTTATATTTGATGTCATGAGTAACAAATGGAATCTTCCTGCTCCCAACCTGGTTGTCTCTTTAGTTGGAGAAGAAGAAAACTTCCAGATGAAACCTTGGTTACGTGACACCTTAAGAAAAGGACTGGTCAAAGCTGCTCAAAGCACCGGTGGGTTCCACTCCTAGAACAGAAACATCCTTTTTCATGGCCATGTTGAAAAAATTTCCTGTTATTTGATAAAGGGGGTAGATTTCCAAAAGAGTTTGCATGCTAAAAATTCATTTCTTTCCCCAAAGAGTTCAGTGATTGTGGATGCAGTATCTCAAATTGTAAGGCTGCAAGAATGAGATTGAATATGAATTTATCATCAAAATGTGATTATTCAAGCATAAGAAGCATGTGTGAGTTTGGATTACAGCCATCCTTCTCTTTAACTTTAATCCAGGGGTCAGCAGCCTTTTTTCTATTGAGAGTCAATTCCCTTGCAGCTGACTGCCAAGGACAGGACAGCTCACACTTGCCAGGGGTCTGAACTTATCACGTGCAGAGGGATTTTAAAATTAGGTCGAGAGCCACATGCAAGTAGGCTGAGGGCTGCAGGCAGCCCTAGGGCCATAGGGTAACCACCCTGTCTCTAATCAAACATTAAAAACCAACATTTAATTTAATTTAGAAGCAGGACAATAGCCAGTCCTCTATCTCATCTGCATCTGCCTGCCAGCTGGAGTTCCTTTTTGGCCATTCCTTTGTCTTCTTAGCTCTGCTTGCTTTGCTTTGCTTGACTGTTGCAGCTTGCTGCTGAGTGTTTGCAGCTGGGGGTTGTGCTGTGGCTGGAGCTGGCTGGAGCTTTGCTTGTGTTTGGACTAGTTCTGGAAAGAGGCTCATTAAGTATCAGCCCTGCTGTGGGTGGTGGGGCCACTCCCAAAGGAAAGACACCAACGGGGATTGTCCCTTTGGAGGAGAGATGCTTCAGCAGGATGCCAGCACAAGGATCACCCCTCTGACATCTTGACCAGTTTGCCTATATGCCTTCATGGGATCTGAGTATGTGCCTGGTAGGCAGGCCTTGGCTCGAAGTGGGGGAGCAGTGCAGGACCCAACCAGTGTAGTGAGAGAGAGGGAGGAGAGCTAACGAGGTAGGGGCAATGCTGCCCAGACAGTGGATGGCTGTGCAATTCCAGCCTTCCTTTGCACTCATCGGTTTGGTAGTTGCCCTATCAGCCTGCTTTGGGCCTCTAGAAGCTGCTCTGGAAGGCCAGATCAGTGCAAAAGAAGACATACCTGATCCTTAACTGAGTAGTGGATGAGGTGGCTGATCTGGGATGCATCACCAAGACCTGAGTGGGAGAATAGGAGTTCTTTCAACAAGTCTTAGTGGTCCAACACCAGGGCAGACTTGAGGGCGGTGGGGTGCTGGTGGTAATTTATTTATTATATTTATATCCTGCCTTTTTTCCTTCAAGGATCTCCAAGGCAGTTGCATAATCCTCCTTTTCCTTATGGGTTGACACAGTGTATAAGAACCGGGTTTCCCCATAAAGTTAATTTGCATGTGGAAATGAATGAAACTGTAATTGACACACAGCTATGTGGCAGACATCTCTTACCACTGTAACTTTGGGAAGCACATGATCTGAAAGTGGAGAACTTTGATTCAATCTCTTTATCACGAGCAAATTGCCATTTGAGATTAAACTGATGGCAACTTTTCCCTCTGCAAAGGGAGAGGGCCAATTAAGATGGTTGGCCCCAAAGGCTAATGGATCCTGCTAGTTTCCACAGAGCTCTAGGGAATTTTCTGGCTGATATGGCGGGTGCTTCTGCTGCAAGACTGGTCCACCTGTGGAATGCAAAAATGACCTGGGTGGCTGACGCATTTGCTCCCCAGTGCCCTCTCTATAGCAGAACCGTTTGGCTCTGTGGTATACTCTGGAGATGGCTCAAGTGCTGATGGAGAAAAACCCCTGGTGGATGCAGTCACACTGCGATATGTGCCTATAATCAGCTATACTTCAGTGGCAGTGAGGACAGCAAAGCCACCACATCTCATTACTTCTGTTCAATCTTGCCTCTGCTGCTTGGTGTATTTTAGGGTTATCCACAGCCTGTTACATGCTGGTCCAAAGGTCACTGTAGCCCTGACCAAGGTCCGCTGTAACATATTTGCTATGCACTTCCAGGATATACCCACTCTTGTACCCACCAGGGTTTGACTCCCGTGTTATAGCGGTTGAATCAGGTGAGGTACAAAGAGAATGGCCCAGTACAATTTTCTTGGGTGACTTCCAATTGGTACAGCTTGAGGACAGTTGATAGGGACTTGGACAGGTTTGTGCAACTTTTATATGGCGTCCTTGTGCCTACTGGTTTATAGAAACCAGCAGAGAGGGAGCAGCCTCTGTAGTTCCATGCCATCTGAAAGAGAAGGTAGTGAAGCAACCCCTGAAGAAATCCTGGAATATTTTAATTTTAGGTTGGTGGCAAATGTTCATTTCCTGGCAAGTTTCTTGAGTCAGTGGTGGTCAACCAGCACAAGGCACTCTTGGACGAGCATCCAAGACTTAGGCTGGGTTTCGGCACAGTAGCAGTTTGGTCACCCTGTTTTATGATCAACGCCAGAAGAGAGGCAGAGAATGACCCTGTTGAAACTCCTGAAATGCTTGATGACTTTCTATATCATTGACCATGGCATCATTCTGGGACAACTGTCTTAAGCTGGGAGCATGGGGTACTGCATTATGGCTGGTCCCAGTTAGCCATTCAGCTCATTGGGTGACTTTGGGCCAGTCACTGACTTTCAGCCTAACCTACCTCACAGGGATGTTGTTGTGAGGATAAAATGGAGAGCAGGAAGAAGACTATGTGACTCACCTTGGGTCTTTGCAGGAAAAAGGAGGCGTGAGTCTGTGGCAATTAAAGGCATACACTTTTTGCAGAATTTAGTCCACTTCATCAGGAAAATTGATTATGTCATAATAATTCTGTTGGTCCTTAAATTTCCACAAGCTTCTTTGTTATTTTTTTGCTGCAACAACCTGACACTGCCATCCATATTATAGCACACCTATAAAAATTAATTTCAGGTGCATGGATCTTCACAAGTGCCTTGCGTGTTGGAATAACAAAACATATAGGACAAGCAGTCCAAGATCACAGGCTGGCAAGTACTTCATCCACAGTCAAAGTCATTGCAATAGGAATAACTTCATTGAAAAAAATTCAGCAGAAAGAACTTCTGGATAATATTAAGGTACACAATGTGCATATTTTTCTCACTGGTAAAAGTATGAAAAAGGAATGTAGTGCATTTGCCTGAGAACAATTGCAGCCTTTAGTCCTACTGATAATGTGATAAGATAGTGCTGTGGAAACTACCTAAATCACAAATCAGTTCTTGGGTTTCATTGGATGAAAATCTCTGTGGCATAAGATTGACCTGTATGAACAGTAATGCTGAGAATGCCTATCTGAGTAAAAATTTTGAATTCACATGTTACACAGTTTTAGTTTTAAAGGGATTTCATTTTTTAATTTTCTTTAAAGCAGATGGATTGATGATTGTCATTATTTACTTATAAACCCCAATAATTTTCAGAGTTTGCAGTGTGGAAATACAGTGGCCAAGGACAGAGGTGCCAGGCTTCTTGTATACTAGATATGCTAGGATAGTTTTCCTCAGAAGGCAGTCTTTAGGGTTGCTGGCTGTATGTTTATACAGCATATTGGGTGTTCAGAAGGGCTCTTTGTATCAGATACTCCAGAAGTTCTTAATACTCCTGTGAAAAGAAACTAAACCTGGCATTTCACACCACTGGGGGAAGCGAGGGAAGAGGGGACTTTCTTTGTCCTCCTCATCAGTTCTTTAAACAAGTTGCGACCCTCTAGTTTTTATGTGCTTATGAGTTGAAGAAATTGATTCCAACATTCAGCATGAATGGCCAATAAAAGCTCATCTTGTTTTAATCGCACAGGAGCTGATTGAATGCCTGAGATTCAAAGGAGGAACACCATGAGACAAATCATGTTAATAAAAACAAATTTAGATGCCAGGGAGTTCCTAATAATAATTGCTCCAGCACTGACGAAGGTGTAATAGAGAATTTATACTGGGAAGTATACAAGGAGGAGAAGAAAGAAGACGATGTACTTCATGCTAACTAGCAGTTTAGAATTCCATGTCAGAATATTACGGGGCAGAGGTGTCTTCTGAACCCTATGCTACGTGTGTGAGGGTTGGTGGGGTCAATGTATCTGTTTGGCCAATAGAGACTTTATTTTGCCAGTATTCCAACACATTTTAGCAATGCCATGATTTTACTTTATCTATTCTTATTAAGCCCATTTCTGACCTAACAGACTCTGCAACGATTCAAGGTTAGTGTGACACAAGCAAAGCATAGTATAACACAATCCGAGTGCTTGTCACAAGGCTGCTGATTTGCTGTACCTAATTTCAGCGTTGTAGATCTCAGTACCACCTAAGGAGCATTTTCTTTCCTGCTTTTTTCATGCATAACCTCCAGGTGCCACTGTAGTACAGTGGAATAGTGCAAATCCCTTTTTTCTGTCAGGTTCATTTTGCATTTTCCCTACTCTAAATAAAACCTTCCCAAAAAGAAATGATTAGACACAGAAGGAAAACTGGAGAGTCACAACTTGTCTAAAGAACTGATAAATGGATATGAGTAGAGAATGAGTACGGAATAGCCAGCATATGAGATGGAAAAGCCCTGAATGGCCTGGTTCAAGTGTAATGGGAAAATATGGTTTTCCACTATATAAATGAGCTTCAGCAAGGGCTAGGCTGGCTCACCCTTCCTTGCTTTTCTGAATGCCAGAGAGTGACAGATGTGTTTGCTTCCTATTTTAAACAAAGATCAACTTCCAGTGCTCAAATTCAGGGAATTGTGTTCAATTAGTTTCAAAATGAAAGTGAATCCTTGAAATATTGGCTCTCACTTGTGTAGTGGAAAACTCTCATTTCTCATTATGTCTCAACCAGACCAACATTTGTAAGTGAAAAAATAACTTCTCCTTTTTCCTAGAATGACAGTCTTATAAGCTACAAATGTGACTATAACGCTGAAGGTCCTCTGTATTCTCTTGACAACCATCACTCCCATTTCATTTTGGTGGATGAAAAAGATCCAAATGAACCAGATGGGACAACAAGGTTACGTCTTACCTTGGAGAAACATATTTCGGAACAGCATACTGGCTACGGAGGTATAAAGAAGGCAAGAAAAGCCTTAATTAATTGTCAGTCATTGCTTGGGTTTCCAGCATTAACAGAGACACTGGTTTGTCTAAATAAAGGTGATGAGTTGATCCAGACTTAGCTATATGCAGTGCTTTTTTTTTTGTCATAGAACGCACCAGAATAGAGTTCCGGCACCTTTTTTCGACAGAGTTTCCAAGTTTTAAAAGTAACTTTTGAAAATTTGATGTTTGGTCCACATGGATTTGAATCACCCTGTTGAGCGTAGCAGGTTGGCAGCAAAATCATTAAAATGGTGCATGCGGGCTACTTGTGTGTCGAATCCGATGCATGCGTACTTCGTCTGCACTGGTTGTGATGGCGCTGCTCGGCTTGTGATTGATTGTGTGGTTGCGCGCTGAGTGCTTTCTGCGGGCGGCAACCGTTATGTTTCGCTACACAACTGACGTGTGTGGGTGTGTGTACAGTGATTGACTACATGCAAAAGGTAAATAATTTCATGCGTTCTGGCACCTTTTTTCTTACAAAAAAGCACTGGCTATATGTACTATAGACTCACTGTAATCAATAGGATTTAATTTAGTCATGACCAACCTAAGTTCCATTGAATTTAATGAGCCTACTATAAGTATAACTATGTCAAGATCCAACCTGATGGAGTTTTGTTTATATCACACTCTCAGTAACCTACTGCTGGTTGGTTCTATGTGCAAATATTTGTAGATATTCCCAAAGTTCTTGGTCTTCTAAAGCAATCCCACAGGTGTCAAAAGAGTTCTTCTGAAGTAAGGCATTAAAAAGCTATGACTGAAAAGTTTCAGATGGTTTCACCAGCAGTGAATGGAATGAACAGAAACTTCCATTCAGGTTCTGACAGGTCCCTTCTTTGCAGGTCCTTGGGAGGATCCATGCAATTTTCTGAAACAAAACCTTTGGTTGCAATCCTGCACGGGTTAGGCTGAACAAATTCCACTAGTCATTAGAGTTTAAGCAGCCTAATTCTGTGGGCATCACTTTTTTAAAGTTAGGATGTAAATGCCAATTACATACCATGAGCCTGAAAGACAACTGGCCTCATCCCATTTAATGGCAACTCACCCTGCTGATGAACCAGTGGTGGTGAGAGGAGCAGGCATCCTCTTGGACTAAAAGAGACAGAGGTACAGCTGAGATAATAAAGTATTTTTATAAGATGGCAAAAATGTGTCCATTCCACAGATGTTAGTAAATTAAATATTTACTCTCTCTTCCAGGAACAGGAAGCATTGAAATCCCTGTACTCTGCTTACTTGTGAATGGAAGGCCTCATGTGCTGGAGGTAAGGAGTTAGTGATCCTGTTTAAATGGCATTAGGTGATTTACTTATTATTAGATTTCTATCCTACTTTTTTCTTACAATGAGCTCAAAGCAGCTGATATCATTCTCCTCCTGCTGCTCTCAATCTTATTATCACAACAACAACCCTGTGAGATAGTTTGAGCCAAGAGTCTGTGACAGGCCCAAAGTCTCCCAGTTGACTTTATGGCTAAGCGGAGAATAGAACCCAGATCCCCTGGGTCGCAGTTCTACTCTTAACTACATTGCTGTACTGCCAGTAGCTGAACCTGTCCAGGCAGTTCACAAAACTGCCCAAAGGAAACTATTTGAGCCAATCTTCTAATATTTGGCATTGAGCTGCTGAGCAGGAAATACAGGCCCATGCTAATAACTGCTCCAAACTGATGCATTCTAAAATGTCAGATATGTTTAGTACAATCATGCCTTTCTTAGGAGCAAATAAAATGTGGTAAAATAGTGAACAGGTTGTCAGGTTCTCTAGAACTCTTCTTCATTGTGGGAGAGGGAGAGGCAAAGAAGGGCATGAAGATGATGCCCAGTATTAAGATGTAACAGTCTTAAGATGGAGACGAGAGGTTTTAGCAGGTTAGGCCATGCTGGGTTTTGAATGACTTTTTTTTCATCTGTAGGATTGCACCATTATTAGAATATTTATTTATTTGATTTATATCTCAGCTTCCCTCCCTCCTTCCTTCCTTCCTTCCAAATTCAGAGCAGCTTACATCATTCTCCTCTTCCTGCTCTCAATCATGTTTTTTATTTATGGAATTTATGTATTGGTGTAATATGTATTTAATATTTATGTAACTATTTATGCAATTTAGTATTTATATAATCAACATATTAAATTTATACCTCATCTTTCTTCCTCTTAAAAGTAAGTGAATGCTACTTAAAAGGTCCTCTTCCTCTCCAGTCTGTCCTCAGAACAACCCCGTGAGGAGGGTTAGGCTGAGAGTCAGTGACTGGCTCAAAGTCACCCAGTGACCTACATGGCCAGGTGGGGACTAGAACCCAGATCTGTTGAGTCCCAGTCCAGCACCTTAGCCAGTACACCACACTGGATCCCTGCTAGGAAGAAAACCGAGGCACCCACATATGGCATGCTGAGGCTTGTGCCTCATGCCAGGCATGTGGCTCCCTTTTTAATTTTAACCTAGTTTTATTTTTGGCCTGGCCATGACAGCAAAAACAGTTCTAGGCAGCTGGATTGAGCAGCATCACCACCACCATTTCCCTGTTCCTAACCATGCAATGTCTTCCACGTTTGTGCTGATGGAATGCATGTGGGAAAATTACAATGTCACTGGCAAGTCCAGGCATGTGGGTCTGGCACACTTAGCAGTGCTGACCCTGGAGCACTGGGCCTGAGTAGCTGGATTCATTAGTGCTCATGCCTTTTTAATTTTCCCATCATTCAGTGCTAGACACACACCGGCTGACCCTGCAGCACCAACTGAATCAGGAAAAGTTGCTCAGTAGCTGAAGACAACAGCACCTTCATAAATAAAACGCTGCATCAGACTGGTGCACGTGCATCTGGTTGCTGAGCAACTTTGCTGGAAAAAGGACATTGTTTTGGATTGAAGAGGATTGGGATTTCACCATGAAACCAGCCATTAAAATAACTTTCACATCTTATATTTTCTTGGAGACATTAATGACAGTTTTATCTAAGAATTACAGCCCTATCGGTCATTATGTGATATGCAAAGGTGTCCCTTTAGACAGAGTACAAGTCCGGGTAACTAAATAAATTCAGTTATCCAAACTGAACATTATGGCTGACAATTAAGCTTTATGCTGCATCTCTACACATAAATACCTGGACTGAGTCCAACTGAACTCAGTGAGGTTTGCTTTTGAGTAGATCTTTATAGGACTGTGCTGTTACAGTGGTGTTCGTTTCATTTGAGCGTGCCTGGTCTCATCTGTTTGCTCTTGTTTTTCAACAGCGAATTTGCAGGGGATTGGAAAATTCCGCCCCCTGGCTCATCTTGGCTGGATCTGGTGGTGTGGCTGACATCTTAGCTGCAGTAATGAATGAGCCCCACTTAATTGTACCACAGCTGATAGGAAAACTGTTAAAAGAGAAATTACCCACAGAAGATTTCTCATGGAAGGACATTCTTCAGTGGACTGAAGTAGTGAGTTTCTTTTTTGGTAAACAGAAAATACATTCCCAGACTCTTGGCAATATTTGACAAACACCTGCCTCCTCTGTTGTTTAGGCTCCAGCTTTCAGGGTCTCTAAAATACTACCCTCTTCCCAATTAACAATTATATATAGACTTTGCTGAGGTAGCTTATGACAGGATTGTTATACACAAGATGTCACTGTCAACAAAAGCACAATATAAGACAAAACGTTACAACATTAAGTAAATTTAGTTATTCTACAAAGCACACCATGTTAAAAAAAAACCTTGAAGTTAAAAAAAAGTAGTGTTCCCTTAAAAACCTATACATTAGAGGCTGTAAATATATCTCTGGGGAAGAAATAGAGCCTCCACCAAAAAGAAAAAAAAAATCTCTCTCTCTTACATGAAACAGTATGCAGTGGTACCTTGGCTTGCTAAATTAATCCGTTCCAGGATTCTGCAGGAAAGACAGAAGCAGCAAAGCAGAGCTGCGGGGAAGATGACCGAGATTCTGCCTGTCTTTCCTGCAGCAGCGCGCCTCTGATCAGGCATGCCTTCCCAGCACGAATGAAACTGCAATCGCAGCCATCTCCCCACTTCGGGAGATGGCTTTGATCCTGGTTGCCACCCAAAGTGGTGTTTGTGACCCAGGTCAAAATTTTTCAGAAATTTTTGTTCGTGGTCTGATTTGTTCGTGAACCAAGGCGTTCATGAGCTGAGGCACCACTGTACTAAATCTTGATGGTGAGTCTGTAAGCAGGGCTGCTGCGCCAATATCCCAAGACCTGGGCAGGTTCGTAGGGATACAGGTCACATAACTTAGTCCCAGGCCATTTAAAGGCCATTGCCAGCACTTCAAACTGGGCTAGAAAAGAAATAGGCAGCTCATAGAAGTAGCACAGTGTAGGTGTTATATGGTCTAACCTCTGTACCACTTTTAGTTTCTATACCATATTTATTTAAAGGCAGTCCTGCTTCAAACACATGACAGCAGTCAAGCGCATGCATAGTGGATCTAGCCTGAGTTACAAATGCCCTGATTACTTTCAGAGGCACCCACTTAGTCATCCTTATTATACCCCAAAATATGTTGCTTTGACCTTATATAAGGAATAACTTAATTAAAGAATGAACAGTTCATATATTTTAATTCTGTTTCTGATGAATGGCCAGTTGGAAATATTAACTGCTTTAACTTTTTAGATCCAAAGCATTGTTGCCCAGCAGCAGCTTCTAACAGTGCATAACTTTGAACAAGAAGGTTCCGAAGAACTGGATACAGTCATTTTGAAAGCTCTGGTTAAAGGTAGCATATATTTAATCAATGCAGTCTATTTCTCCAGTACGTACTGGCTGAGAACCTTCCCAGTCTGGGGCACTCTGCATCCCTGGGACTAGTGAGGAGGTTTCTGGATTTTTGGGGAAGGGGACCGCTATGATTTACGCACGTTTGTAAGCCCGCCACCACCCCCACCAAGCCTTCAGGCTATTTTCACTGTCCCAGCTGAGCCCAGCACTGCAGGGCTTGGCAATCCAGCAGCCTCCTGGGCATAGAAGCATGCCTGCCACTGGATGATGTTTCAGCACCAGTGGGCTGCTCTGGCAGGGGTGTCCCCAGAGAGGGTGACACCAAAGGGGAGTGTCCTTTGGTCTGCCCCTTCAGAGTGTCACAGGGATGAAAGTGCTTCTCCATTTCTCCTTCACCTGTGCCTCCTTCACCTCTCACCTTATGAGAACATACACCTGAGCCTGGGAGGAAAATGATGGGGTTGAGATGGTGTGCACTCCAACCGCTGTAGTGAGGAGTACAGGGAGATTCGGGCTGGGAGCAGAACTGGCCAGGTAAGAGGAATGTGGCCCAGACAGCTAACAGCTCAGCTGTATTCTGGTTGTCTTTCCACATTAAAGCAGTTGAATCTGTGGAGATTTCCCAAGCACAGCCTGGTCCTGTTTGGTACAGCTTGAGGATGTTGCCACAGTGCTTGGCCAGGTTCATGCAACCACATCTGTACTGGATCCTTGCCCCCTTGGCTTTGAAAACCAATAAGGAAAGAAAAACTGCCTCCTGAAAAAGGCAGTGGTAGGACCACTTCAAAGAAACTGTCCCTTGTCCTGGAAGACCTTAATATTTTTGAGGTGATAGCTAATATCCTTTTTATGGTCAAGGTTCTTGAGAGGGTAGTTGACAATCAACTCCAGGCACTCTTGGGTGAGACTGATTATCTGGATCCATTTCACTTGAAGTTCAGGCCTGGTTTTGGCATGAAAACAGCCTTGGTCAACCTGTATGACGACCTGACCTATTCAGGAGAGATCCTGTTGATGCTTCTGCACCTCTTGGTGGCTTTTAATAACTTTAAAGCAGCGGTCCCCAACCTTTTTGGCACCAGGGACCAGTTTCGTGGAAGAACATTTTTCCACAGACCAGGAGGTGGGGGGGGGGGTCGTTTTGGGATGATTCAGGTGCATTACACTTATTGTGCACTTTATTTCTATTATTATTACATTGTAATAAATCATGAAATAATTATAAAACTCACCACTTTAGCTCTACCTCAGATCATCAGGCACTACATTTTCAAAAGGAGTGAGCTACCTAGATCCCTAGCATGCGCAGTTTACAGTAAGATTTGTGCTGTGGTGGGAAAAAGCAGGAAAAATGGATAGGTTTGCCCCACCCCCTGTCTTCATTCTGCCTGCTCCCATTGGTCTAATGCACAGTCATTCCACCTTTTTTATTGGAGTGCCTGCCCCATGCCCAAGCCACAGTCCACACATGGTATTGGATATTGTTGGTTGAGGGGCACCTCACATCATCATCTTACTAGAGAAACAAGACATCTGTCAGAAGAGCTTTAGCCTGTTCGAAAAAGGTTGGATTTGGTTGGTCAGGGCACTCTTGACGTCCCACCTCCTCTTGTGCCTTGGTGCCACAGCAGCCTGCAAGTGAAAGGAGGGGGGAATTGTGGAGGACAGCTCACAGAAGAAGCTTTGCTTGCTTGCCCTCTCCTCACCTCCTGCTGTGTGACCCAGTTCCTAACAGGCCACGGACCAGTCCTGGTCAATGGCCCGGGGATTGCGGGGGCCCTGCTTTAAAGGATCAGTCCAGGTCATTTGCCTGTAAAGTTCTCTTAAGAAATTCCACTTTGTATAACAGAAGGATTCATACAAAATTAGAATAGATACAATTCCAGTCTCTCTCTCACTGGAATTAATGAGATTTCAAAGAGTTTCACTCTGGCTTTGGAACACACAAGGTATTTTTCAAAAGTCATATTTCAAACGTGGTGGCTATCTGAAATAAAGAATAGTAAAGATTCTTTTAATGGAAACCTTTAAAAAATGATACCAGCTAAAAGAGTAAGGTCCACTTTAAATGTGTAGTTTCATGTTTGAGAGCTTGGGGCTGCAATTCTATGCAAGATTTCTTGGGATTAAGGCTGAACCTGGAACAGAGGGTTCATGCACAGGACTAGTGAACTTATTCTCATTTTATGTTTGTACTAGCCTGTAAGAGTCATAGTCAGGAAGCACAAGAATATCTGGATGAACTGAAGCTCGCTGTGGCCTGGAACAGAGTGGACATAGCAAAGAGTGAAATATTTAATGGAGATGTTGAATGGAAGGTAGGTTCTTTTACCTGCATCAATCGCTCAAACTAACTATACTAAATCAGAGACTGGTATTTATTAGAGAAATCAAGGGACACTGAGGAGAGGCAAGAAGCTTCTGCTGGGCCATCTGCTGGCATACAACATTTTGGAGTTAAGAACATGGCTAATCTCCTTCACCAGTCCTAAAGAAGTAGTCTGTGAAGCAGGAATGCTTGTGTATTTCCTTGTCAGACTTTGTTCCCCAAATCCTAATATGGCTGGTCTCTGTCTCTCCCATGTCCCTTTGCCCAATATTGCAGTCTGATTCTAGCATGATGAATTTCAAGACGCACTTTTAGTAATTTGTGAATAATGGCATCCTGAATGTTAACCAATACCATCTATTGTTTTCTGAAAACCCACCATCTGTTTCACAAAGCGATGGCAGTGTGGACATTTCATCAGAGTGCTTTTTTCATGATCTAAAATACTGTATCAGCTCCCTTAATGTCAATTTCTACTGGAATTGACATATGTTTAAAGTATCTTGTGACGCAGACAAACACATGTGCATAAGGATATAATATTAACTCCAATATATTCATATCTAGTGCTGGATGACTTTGGGGAGCCATTCCATGCTCCCCAAGACACCCCCCTGGCATGAATGCTAGAGCTAGTCTACAAGAAACACAGACATGTGAAAAATCCCCCACCCATACATGCACACACCGTAATGGTATCTCCTAGCATTACCTTCTCTGAGGTGGCCCCCTAAAGATTACGCAGCTCTCATAATTCCCAGACAGCATGGCCACTGACATGCAAAGCCAGTTGGGGAAGGATGCTTCTCCTGGAACTGGACAGAACTCACCTTTCTTCCAAGGTTGAACTCAAGACAACATGCATCATATTCCCAGGTGAACTCCATGCAAGAGCTGATCAAATGTACTGAGCTTCAGCAAGGTTGCTATAAAAGCATAAGCATTTGGACCATGCCCTAGGACCCCTTGAGTTGGACTTATAATGAATTTCCTTCACTTCAGCAGTTAATGCTTTTGGTGAGGATCAGAGTGGGGTGGGGGAAGGTTGTGATGGATGCTGCTTACCCAGCTAGTTCTATCAGATGATCCAACCAGAGGGATGTAGACTGATGTATGTGGGGAATGTTACATCTACAGCAGGAGCAGGCAGACTTTAGATGTTTTGAATCTGCTTTTGCTGCAACCCCATGACCTACCAACCAGCGCCAGGTGTGGAAGACAACAGGCTGCCTCCAAGCACATTCCAAGCACCCAGTCCTTTCACACAAGAGTTCATTCTTGCCCAGGCTTTCTTCATGTCAGCAGCCTCATTTAAGTGAGGAAAGACATGTTGCTGTTGCTAAGCATCTTCAAGTCATATGTTCTTCTTGATCTAATGCAAATCACCCAGAGGTCACCAGTAGTCCTAATTTACTTTCTGCCTTTGTCTAGTCTAGACCAGCTTCTGATCAAACAGCTAGAGACAGAAGGTCTATATCCTACGCCTATTGACTGGGTGTATTTTATTCATATTTAATGGCTCTCTGTGTGTGCAATATAACTCAGTTCTCTTAGTCTGACAAGTGGACAACCAGCTGAAATATGGGGACATTCTCTGCATATTCCTTTACTAATAAAAGTTGTTGTATCATACATCTTAGAAGCTATTTAAAAGAGCTTGTACATTTGCTCTGACAGATTGCAATGTGGGAGATGCAGAATTGTGAAGGTTTAGCGGAAAAGCAAACAGGAAACAGTGGAAAAATAGAGTGCGGAATGTTTCTCCCTAAGTTTTTCAAAAATCCTTGAGGGAAAATGAAGAATGTGTTTGGTTTTTCAATTTTTCCCCTTCCCATTTTTCCTCTCTGCCCTCTTCCCCCGCAGACTTCAGATTTATTCACATCAGATTTCTTTGCATCTTTCTTCGAAAGTTGTCTTTGCCTTGTTTTTGCCTCTGCAGTCCAGGTTTACAGCTGACATGTTAGGCTGGAAAGGAGGGTGGCATTCTTAACATTTATTTATTTATTACATTTCTGTACCACCCTGTAGGCTCTCTGAGCAGTTGACAAATATTAACTATCATAAAATACAATTCATAAAATATTCATAAATTCAGGGTACTCATAAAATACAGTGAAAACTACAACAATATGATACAACAACAGCCGTAGGACAACAACCGCAGCAACCAATGAACAATATTTAAAACTGGTTCAGCAGATATACACACACAGACCAGTTGCAACTCTCTAGTATCCTCACTGAAATATATTTTTCCTCTTTTCTTGTATGCTTAGTCATGTGACCTGGAGGAAGTGATGATGGATGCCCTGGTGAATGATAAGCCAGAATTTGTCAAGTTGTTTGTCGATAATGGGGCCAACATGTATGACTTCCTGACATACAGCCGGCTCCAGAGACTCTACTGTACTGTTTCGCCAAAGTGTCTCCTTTACACTCTTCTGCTTAAAAAACATGAAGAAAACAGACTCACTTTGGCAGGGATGAGTGGCCAACCGCACAAGGAAGTAGGGGACACTTGCCTGCTCTTTACTCTTCATGAAGTTTCCAGGGTGCTGAAGGATTTTCTTCATGATGCATGTCGAGGCTTCTACCAAGACCCTAAGTCTGGAGGCAAGAAGAAAGGTGTAAGTTTCTTGAAGGCAATTTAGAGCATTGAACCCAAGACTTGGCCCTGATCAGGTCCTTTGGGAATCTACATCTAACTTTGCTACTCCATATCAGTTGATTATTTTCAGGGCCAAGAAGCTGCAGGTGGCAAGTTAGTGCACTCACAAGCCAAACCACTCTGGATATGTAATGTGTGGCTCTGTCATAGGGTAGCCTGGTCTCCCCTTTCACAGAAGACAGTCCTATGTTTGAAGGGCTGTCAGAGAACTATTCTTAGTTCAGAGTTGTCCTCTGTCTGAAGGCCTGTCCTGTCCAATTCAGGTTTGAAGACAATGATCCATACAGGAATTTTGGAGAAATTTGCAACAGTTTCAAATGGGTTTGAATTTATGTGAATCTGGTCATTTTAACTTTCCAGGAAGTATATGCACATTTCTTCATACACATATAGGAAGAAAAAAGAATGCCAGCCAAAGATGCACATTTTCACACTGGGTTAAAGAAAATAGGGTGGATGTGGGCATTTGCAGCTTCCTCCTTATCTCTCTTTCTCTCTCTATCATGCACACACACACACAGAGTTCAGGGAAGATTTGTGCAAATTTGCATTAACTAATGCACATTAAAGTGGATTAGTGCAACTGTGCAAGTGCACATTAGCCAAAGCAAATTAGCACATGTAGAATAAATCCTCCTGCAAAGTATCCAGTTCTATCCAGAAAGACAGAATGAAAGCCATTTGACAATTCTCAAAACACGGATGGAATGGACTTAACAACATCTGCCCATTGCTGGAACCCTAACAACTGTAATTCATCAGCAGTTATTTGCAACTAAGCAGGCCTGTTTCCCACGTCATTCTTTCATACTGTGGTGAGATTGACTGTATTTCTATTTAAATACAGTATTTATTTCAAAATCATAATTAGTTCTAAATTTGCATCTGGACATATCAGTTGGCATGGGCAAATGTTATATCCTGTTCTCTCCTCTTTTTTGGCAATTCACAAGTAGCCATCCTACATACACATGTGGCTAGATATGGGACATGGCAGTATGTGCCATGCTGTCGCAACACTTAGCCCCACACCTCACCGTATGTAAAACACTCCCATGATCCTTGGCATCTGCTGTGTCCCCTGCGCTATGACTCTCATGTTGCAATTGCCATCCCTGTGGTCTTCAGCAGTAAAGCCTGTTTAATCCAAAATCCCATTAGGCTCAAATGGGCTTACTCCCTAGCAAGTGTGTTTAGACTTGCAACCCAAGGCAGCAACTGCCCATGCCCTTACTTGGAGACAGTTCCACTGAACAGAGTTGGCATGTCCTGCAAGTTAAAATCTCAAAGTAAGTCTGGAAACCTAGGTATGCCCTCATGTTTTGGCCAAACAGCATATCCATTGATAGTATTACATGACTGTCTATAAATCTATTACCTACTGCTCTGTGAAGTTCTTGGTGATGAGTAACAAATATTCTTAACCCCTTCCCATATCATTCTGTGCACTGCTTTTTATTTTTAAAAAGATTCTTCAGATTGTGGTATGCTGCTCCTTTCATGTTTTGGAACATCTCTCCAAACAGGTTCTTAAAAAGTTAGCATGGCAGATATCAGCACAGCTGTCTTACTCCTTGTCCCCCTCCATTACCTGCAGACATGAGATCATATTGTTGCTTCTAGGTAGAAGCTGAGAGTACCATGCAAAAGACAATGAACTCAGGAAGCTCTTGTTTGGCTATATGGAAGCATACAAATGGTAGGAAGATGTTACCTGTGGACCAACCCTAAGAATCCAAATGCCAACGTATCTTTCAATGCATAAAGGAATCAGTGAAGGGGTTGAATAGCTTATCCTTAACTTTATGCATTAGCTTTTGCATGCTAGGCCAGGTAGAGGCTTGTTGGAATTTTAATTAGTGTCTGTTGAAAAGTGCACTCTTTCTGCCAGCACAGAATGGAACACAAAGTACCATGAATGGAAATTTCTGATGTAACAAACATGGGTCATATGGTTAATTGCAGCTTCTTTGTGCCATATTTCATGCAGCATGCTTTCATAACTATTCATTTGTATCCAAGATACAGCTGCCCTTTTAACTCTATAGTGTCAGAGAACAAATTATCTCAGGGTCATGCTAAAACCAAACTAAACCAAAAAATAAGTAAATCCAAGGGGTGATTTAAGGGTGTGGGGTGGGGGGTAGGAAAACTTTTCTTTTGCATTTTACCCAGAAAGAAGTACCATTTGGTGCTGCATGGGGTGACCTTGAGTCATCTTTTACAAAGGAGGGGTGCCAAAGAACACTTCTCCCTTGTAATGTTTGTTCTGTGCAATTCTATTTTAAAGATAATGAACCCTAAGAACTGCTTTTCATCAACCAGTACCACCTTTCAGCAAACTGAAAACATGAATTTTTGCTGCTGAATTCCCTCATCCTGCTTTTGCATTAATAACTGGGCACAAAAGCTCTAATACAGACACTTTGGAAGCATAATGTTTGTCTCTGTTAGAGAGGTATTCCCCCTTCAGAGCATTACAAAAATATAGCTTTATAGAGGGTTTGCCCATATAGCCAATGTTGTCAGATGCTCCTTAACACACATAATTTAATTTAAAGAATTCATCTCCTGCTCTAGTTTAGAAGTGTATAAGGTAGGAAATGCAGTTCCACAGTTACCTGATCCAGATCCTGTGCTGTGATGTACTCACTTGGACCATCCTAATTCACTTAATTAGCATCAGTAGAGTATATATCCCTTTAAGAATGCAAAGCTGCCCTCTCCAGTGACAAGTAAGGAAGTGGCTGGTGGTGGCAGTGCCCAGGATGAGCTACAAAAATGCTGGATCCTGTAAAGGATTGCTGCAGAGCAGAGGGACTCTTCATTTGCAAAACAATGGGCCTGAAATCCCTAACACATTTGATAGTTAGGATCCTAATGATTGTTCGCATAGAAAAATATCTAATTTTGAATTATAGTTGTATTAGTATAAGTTCTTTGTTTGTTTAGGATAAAATACATCCAAAAAGCCCCTTGGATATTAATCAGAAAAGTGAAAATCCTTGGAGAGACCTATTCTTATGGGCAGTGCTTCAAAATCGGCACAAGATGGCATACTACTTCTGGGCTATGGTAAGACAGATGCTGAAATGCACATTTTACCTGTTTCTTTTCCCCCTGAGAGACAGACTGGAACTGTGCAGCTTGGGAAAGGGTCACAGCCCTTCTCCTTCAGTGCCACAGCCCTGAGCAAGACTGGGTCCTCTCCTGTGATGGTTATTAAGTTTGTTTGTTTATTTGTTTTTAACCTGCGTTTTAGGCAGAGCTGGCCCCATTTTGCTGCCTGAAGCAAAGAAAAAGATGGCATCCTCTCCATTTCATATGCTAGCTGGACCGACAATTGAATCTTACTTACTTCAGCACTGACAGTGGGATAGTGTCCTCCACCACCTCACCGGCACCAGGCTAGTTTGGGCAGGTCAGACTGTAAGGCCTACACAGGTCTGTCCTCCTACAGAGTGGAGGCCACAATCACCCCTGTTCAGAGTTGGTGTCAAGAAAAGGCATGGGGTGGGGGTACTGGTAGCAGCATCCCCTAAACATGCTGTTCTTCACCATGACAGCCTGCTTGTTCACCTGCCTCTTGCCCTGGCCCAGGCAACCATGGTGGTGAGAAGGTGGAGCCGGAGGTCCTCCACCCTACTCACTCACCAGCTCCCTTCTGGGCAAGTATGGTAAACACCTTTTCCCTCCCTTTCTCCTTTTCAGCAGATCAAAACAAACACTCCTAAAATACAGTTCTGTATTAACAGAAGCTTAACATGGGGGGGGGGGTGAGACAGAGCTTTTTCTATGAATGCTCTTAACAAGCTGCATATAACCAATAATGCTTCCTCTGTGGGAATCCAGACTAGCTTCTGCCCATGCAAGGATCTGATCCCAGACTGGAATGGCCCCTTCCCCTTCCTTTCAGAGAGTCTTGACTCCACCCTGGGCTGGTTCATGCTGCTTGATTGCCAAATGGCAGGAAGACCTGACATTTTGTAATTGGTCCACCAGTTTGTCCTGGTGTTGCTTCCCTTGTTCTAGGACATGCGCAGGGTCTCACGCTACCTAAGAACCTTCAAAATGGAGAGGCTGCCATGCAGTGCCATGAAGGGTAGGCCTCATCTGGCACCAGAGCCCTCACTCCAGGAAAGGCTTAAACTTCCGTCTCCTCTGCTTGTTCACATGCCCTGATCTGCCTGAACAACAATGGTGGGGAGGAGGAGCAGTAGATGCCATTTCCTACTCGCTCAATGACACAAGCAAGTGGCGCGATGATGAAAGCAGAGGGGGCCAGGGTGGTGAGAAGGTAGATTCACTGAGGCCCACTGAGCCTATCTTGCCTTTTGCCCTTCAGGCATCTGGAGCTGCTATTGTACACAGGGCCAGGTGTGATCCAGATAAGACAAAAGAAGCAAAAGTCTAATGAGAAAGAGAAATATTAAAAGCCTTCCTTCCCTCTGAAAGTGGCCAGAGAATGCTTATTGTTTCAACTGGAGATGGGAGTGGTCAGCTTGCAGTAGTGAAGCAGTAAATCTTCTGACTTGTTTGTTTCCTGGCAGTGAAGGATAAAGATCTAAACACATTCTGTTTCCCCTTGTAAAACAAAGAGAAGCCTTCAAATTCTTGACTGGAGAAAAGGACGCAGCATCACAAAACTTGGACAGTCCTGTCTTGCATGAGCTGCAATTGAAGAGAGAGCCTGGATTTACTATTGTAGGAAGATCCCAGAAGAGTGCAAATGCCTACAAGTTGTTAATGAAAGGTGGAATCTAAAGGGGAGGAGATAAAAGTTCATATATGCTTCCCTTTTCACCATTGTAGACATCACGTTTGCATAAGTGGATTTAAGCCTTAACTCCCCCCCATAAAGCCCCCAAACTTAAGTCCTTCAAGTGAATGCACTCTTCCAACATCCGTCAGGCTTAACACTGGGCCAGTTCACACAAGATGACAACCTGTCATGCCATATTGTGCGCATGAAGTGCTGTGGTTCATGCCGGCCAGCTTTACTGGAAGTAGAAGGTCTGAGCAGGGATTGCTGTGTCTACTTGAGCTGCCTGAGCAATCCTTGCATAACCCTGAAATGAACTGTGGGTTGTGAAAGGTAGTTTAACCCTCAATTGACCTCTACCATCTGGATTGAGATGACATGGCATGGCAGCTGGGGCTTGCATATTCATAGTAGAAGTCAAGCATGTGATGAGGTAATTAATCTGTGGTGGGCTGTTGGGTCTTTCTCCCATGAAATTCTCTTCTCTTGGACCTGACCTCATGTATTCATACAACACAGTGTACCTTGCTGAACACTTTCTAGTCAATTTATCCTGTTCTTTTCCTCAGCTAGAGGGAAAGGATGTGCCATCAGTGATTTCAAGGCTAACCAGACATGTAGACCTAGCCCATGTGATAAGAACAGCTCTATGTCAGCCTCCTTCAAGTGATGCTCCCCAGATTTGTTTGACTACGGCTCCCATTATCCTCAACTAGTAAGGCCAAATAGGCTGTAGTCCAACACCTACAGAGGGCACCAGGTTGAAGGAGGCTGCTCTAACACATACTTGTGCATGTTTTTGTGCTTATTGTGATATATCTTTATCTTTAAATTGCTGAAATATTTTTAGATATGGTAGGCCTACATAAAATTACATGATGGTGGTGGTAAGCAGTATATTGAACTTCCATATAGTGATTGCAAGAACAACTGAGTGATTTCATGTGAGATGTGTTTCCTTTCCAGGGCCAGGAAGGTGTAGCTGCAGCCCTGGCCGCTTGTAAAATCCTCCGTGAGATGTCCCACCTGGAGACAGAAGCTGAAGTAGTCCGCAGAATGAAAGAAGCGAAATATGAACAGCTTGCTGTAGGTAAGTACCTATGCAGGATCCCATGCGTAATACTTGTCTGGACAACCAGCAAAAGGAATTCCTCCTTGGCCTTGCAGTATAACCGTTGCCCTTTGCCCATAGCATCATGCTTCACCTCTAGCATTGTATCTGCAGACCTGCACAGGTGGTGGTGGGGGGGGAATATGCAATGCAGCCCTCCTGTGTTTGCTCACTGCTGCTTCCCTCTTTTTTCTTAACACAAATCCTTTAAGAAGGAAAAGCAGACTATCACAATGCCTTTGGGCTGATAGCAGTTGGAACCATCTGTCTGAAAGCACCCCAGTTCTCCCAAAACTACTTTAAAGATACATGTTGCATTTTCTAACTTGAAATGTGAAAGTGAGTGAGCTTACACACAGCAAGCTGCTATGATGCAACTTGTTACTCATCCCAAATGTGTTTGAACCACCACAGAAAAGCCCTGCTCTTGTTCCCCATTCATCCCTCTGAGATCCTGATCCCCCTTCTTCCCAGTTCCTGGAGCAATTGGTCAGTCAAGAGAGAGCTAAGGGGCGAGCAGAGAAGGGCAAGCAGCAGTTCCTCCTCCTTGGTGCATGCAGTTTCTGCCCCTTCCAATTTTCTCACCTATGTTGGTGGATAAGCCTTCAGAGTTCTCTGCTAAGCAGGTAACTACTATCATGTGATGAGGGTAATGTGTAGCCAGGCTTTACAGTTACTGGTGCATTCCTGTGTCTGGGAGAGAGCTATTTATGTGCCTGTGTTAGAAAGAAAGCTGTGAATTCCATTCTATTTCAGCACACAATCTTGACATAAAAGAAAAGAAAAGAAAAGAAAAATAAATTAAATTAAATTAAATGTTCTTTAAGCAACATGAATGGAGGCGGTAGGGAATTGTTCTCCCCTGAAAGGCTGTATGAGTGTTCCTGGAACATAAACTAAGTATTCAGCCTGGAGGAAACTGCAAAAAAAAAAAAAAAAATAAAAAAAAAATAAAATAAAATAAAATAAAATAACATTTGAACATACTAAAACCTGAATGAGCATGGTTGAAGGTATGCCAAAACTATTTTTATCTGTCTGTTTACCAGATTGATACAACAGTTCGCTAGCAGATGCCCTTAGGAGAGTTTATAAGCATAAAAACAGCCAAAATGCAAAATAGTGCAGTTAACAGTAATATGGTGTTTGATACCTGCAAAGCTTAATAAGATGTATTTGGATACATGCTTTTAAGGCTGGAAATGCTTGGCTTTTATCGCAGATATCTGAATCATATGTGGTGGGATTGTTGGGAGCAGACTGAGTACTGGAGGCAAATGATATTAGAAAGAGGAGTCAGTGTGGTGTTGTGGTGAGAGGGCTCGACTGGGACTTGGGAGATCTAAATTCTAGTTTCCATTTGGCCATGGAGCTCATGGGGTGGCTTTGGGCCAGTCAGGGACTCTGAGCCCAACCTGCCTCACAGTGTTTGTGAGGATAAAATGGAGAGGAACAGGAAGATTATATTGGTCATGCTGGGTTCTCTGCAGATCAACAAACATCAATCAATAATAATCAATAAATATGAACAGCACTATTTAGTCTGGGATTTAGCACATAGCTAGAAGAAGGTATTTCACACATCATGAAATCTTTAATTATACACTTATGGAGCTTAGTCAAAATCATGTGAGTTTGTAAAATGGGAAGATTTCTATTCTCATTTAGTAAGGGAAAGAATATTGACAAGTTTGGAATTAACAGAGATGGATGAATTGTATTAACAGATATGATATGTAGGAGAAGTAAAAACTAATCATTATTTCTGAAAAATGGACAGGTTTGATCAATTTGGAATGCACATTATGGCAGGGTTATGCTTCATATGAATTTGTTTAAAGCACTGAAACTTACTTGTAACAATATGCTATGTTTTATTTCTCTTCTTCTTCTTACCTGTAAGAAAGAATACTAGGAGAAGCCATCAGTATCTTTGCATAGCTAGGACAATATTGTACCACATATAACAATAAACAAGTTGAAACAGTCATGCTGTGATGAGAATTCAGCATATCATAACATTGTCTTTTATGTTAGTATCAGACAAACCTCTCACCAAATAAATGCTTGCCTTTAATTTCCAAGTTTATTGACTAATGATATTTAAATATAATCTGAAAGGACACTGTCTCCCAGAACAGACTTGCTTTTTCAGAAGTGAGCGGGAGACAAGATCAAATTTGTAGCTGATATGGATTTCCACCTGACATAAATAGCCCAAAGCATTTACTGACTTAAGCTTAGCTTGATGATAGTTATCCTTGACTTATGGTACTTCCAGATAAGTCATTGTCTTCAGTTTGGTGCCCTTCCTTGTTCCACCCCCCTGCATCTTCTGACTTTTTCTTATCACAGAAAGTCAGTCAAGGAGAATAAGATGGAAAAACACAATGCCTTCCAGCTGAGTGGAGTGCGAAGGAGCTCTCTCTCTGGAAGCACCCCTAGTAAAACCCAGGCTTGGCTACTTCACAGGGCTCCTATGAAGGCCTTTCCAGACTTTATGGAATGCAAAATGCAGTGGTTAGGCTGCTGACTGACATGGAGCATAACTTGCAGTTTTAAAAGTGTTTCCCATGCATTTGCAGGTGCAAGCCAAAGTGCTTGTAGTGATCTATGAAATCCTATACAGCTTGGGACCAGGGTATCGCAAGGACCACCTGCCCCTATGCGTACCTGCCCAGGCTCTAAAAGAATCTGAGGCAGCTCATCTGCAAGGGACTCACCTACCTGGAATTGTGTGATGAATGCATTGCCTTGTTTTGCTCTTTGGGCCAGAAGCTGGCTTGCACAAGTTCGGACTATTAGTCCATCTAGACCAGTATTGTCTCCTCAGACCAGCAGCAGCTCTCCAAAGGCTTTTCCTACCAAGTATTTTTAACTGGAGATGTCCAGAACTGAAGCTGGAATTTCTGTATGTAAATCATGCGCTCTGCCACAGAGTTATGCCCCTCCTGGGGTATGGGTGTGTATATGTGTGCTACAGATTTTTGAGCATGAAATGTGGGAGTTACCCACCTCTTCTCTCCTACCTTTAGCTTAATCACTGCTCTTTCCTCTGTAGCCTTCTTCTTCTTCTTCTTCTTCTTCTTCTTCTTCTTCTTCTTCTTCTTTTTTAAAGAGAGACCCCTTTCACTAGGAGCCCATGATTTCCTGCTAATTGTTCAGGTTGGAATGCAAATGCTGAGAATTTCCTTCAAAGCAAAGCAAGAAATGCAGAAGTGTGTGAAAGTGATATTTAAAAAAGACTGCCAAACAAATTCAGACTTAAAACAAATCTTTCAAGTGTGATCATTAACAAGGCTTAAGCTTTGATTATTTTTTACATTAGACTGAATACATTTATTTTTCATTTCTCATTTTCCCCAGAGGTGACATGCTCAAAGGCAGTTTCACAAAACCCCCTGCCTTGAACAAAAGAGGGTTCTGTAAGCTAGCTCCACCCTGTCACTAAAGACCTTGGAAATTCCTTCCATGATTCTAAGAATTTTGTAATTTCTTGTAAGGAAATTGTAAGGAAAATACAACAAAATTGAACCATTCCACTAAGCACGATGACAAAAACAATAAATAATAATAAATATATAAAATGTTACATCATCAACTAATTCACATGAGTAAAATCTATGTGTATATCAGAAGTCACTTTTGACATTCTTATGTCAGCAGTTCTTAAGTACGAGGATGGGTGATCTTGTGAGTAAACCATGAAGGGAAGTATCCTATGCATGTTTAGACAGAAAAAACTCCCAGCATGCCTCACCCAGCAATGGCTGTGGACTCTGTTTCTATCTAAACATGCATCCAATTGAAGTTATTAGCTTCAGGCTTCTAATGCATCTTTTTATCTTCATAACATTAGAAGATGCAGAACTGAGTGTGTGTGTGTGTACACATGCAAAGATACAGGAAAGGACACAATTTTATTCTCTAATTCTGTTTGGGTAAACATCTCCGCTTACAGTACATAGCACACAAATGCAATGACTGTTCACTTCTCCATTTGCCTTTTCAGAACTGTTCAGCGAATGCTACCACAATAGTGAAGATCGAGCATTTGACCTGCTGGTGAGAAAAAACCGGTACTGGAGCAAAACTACTTGTCTCCACTTAGCCACGGAAGCAGATACCAAGTCTTTCTTTGCTCATGATGGGGTGCAGGTAAGTAAAATCCAGGGGATTTTCCCTTTGGAAGGTATTACTAATGCTTATTTAAATTTTGAGAATGGAAGGGTAGCAATTATCCAGCTCAGAATAACTGGAGCCAGAAATTAGGGTGGCCCAGTTATATGTTTACATCGCAGGAACATATCCACAGCCTCACCTGCAGAAGAGGAAGGGGAAAAATAGAGCTGATGCAACCGTTTCAGGTAGATATTAAATAGCATGGGGACAGATGAGACCCCTGAGGAACTCCATGCTGTAGAATCTGGAGGCCACCAGAGCCTCAAGTGACAATAATGGATCAAGCAGAACCCCCAAACTACAGACCTGCTTCTTCAGGGGGAGTGCAATCCCATCTAGAACAGGACACCTTCCATCCAGCCAAAGGAACCACCCACCAGCAAAATCTCAAGCCTGTCTGGATTGAGCTTCAGTTAGCCCTTGCCCAGTCCGTTGTTGTAGCCAGGCATCAGTTTAGCACACCCACAGCTTCACCTGCTGTAGATGAAAAGGAGAAATAGAGCTGCATGTCGTCAGCATACTGATGGCAATGCACTCCAAAACTGCAGATGACCCCATTCAGTGGTTTCATGTAGATATTAAGCATAATAGGGGACAGAATTGAGGAACCTTGAGGAACTCCATGCTGGAGAATCTACGGGGCAGAACAATATTCCACAAGCACCTCCGAGTAGAAATGAAATCACTACAACACAGTGTCATCTCCCTCACTCCCAACCCAGAGAGTCACCTCAAAAGAATACCATGGTTGATGGTATCAAAAGCTGCCAACAGCATCAACCAGGTCAATTTCCTCTGTCTCTCTCCTGACATAGCTCATCAAACAGGGCAATCAAGGCTGTTTCTCTGCCAAAATTGAGCATGAAACTCAACTGAAACGGATCCAAATAATCAGTCTCACCCTACAGTGTCTGGAGTTGATTGTCAACTACCCTTTCAAGAACCTTGACCAGGAAAAGGATATTAAGTATCAGCTCAAAATTATTAAGGTCTTCCAGGACAAGGAAGGATTTCTTTGAAGTGGTCCCACCGCTGCCTTTTTCAGGAGGCAGGATTTTTTCCTTATTGGTTTTCAAAGCCAAGGGGGCAAGGATCCGGTACAGACGTGGCTGCATGAACCTGGCCAAGCACCAGGGCAACATCCTCAAGCTGCACCAAACAGGACCAGACTGTGCCTGGGAAATCTCCACAGATTCAACTGCTTTAATGTGGAAAGACGACCAGAACACCACTGAGCTGTTAGCTGTCTGAGCCACATTCCTCTTACCTGGCCAGTTCTCCTCCCAGCCCGAATCTCCCTGTACCCCGCACTACAGCAGTTTGGATGCACAATATCTTGGCCCCATATTCTCCCTCCCAGACACAGTCTCAGGCATATGTCCTTATAAGTAAGGAGCAGGTAAAGGAGAAATGGAAAGGCACCCTCACTGTCAAGGCATCCTGAAGAGGCAGACCAAAGGACACTCCCCTTTGGTGTCACCCTCTCTGGGGACACCCCTGCCAGAGCAGCCCACTGGTGGTGGGACACCAGGAGGCTGCTGGATTGCCATGCCATGTCAGTGCACCCTGCAGTGCTGGGCTCAGTGTTGGGGTGGGGAGGGGAAGCTTGCTGGAGCTCTTAAGGCGCTGCAGGCCTTTTCCCCAAGAGCCTCTGAACCTCCTCACTAGCCCCAGGGTGTGGAACCATTAGGCCACAGTCTGCTCATAGAACAGATTCTCATAGCTGGTGTCATGTCATGCCAACTTCATAACTTGGTCCTTAAAATTCCAGGCTTTTCTGACAAAAATTTGGTGGGGAGATATGGCAACATCCACCCCAATCTTGAAGCTGATCTGTGGATTCGCATGCCCTCTCCTGATCTACACGAATTTGATATCATTTCGGTAAGGACCACAGAGGAGCTTGTGTAAAGAGAGTTGGGGAGGAAAAGATAGTGCGAGGTTATCATGAAGATAAAATGGAGAGGAGGAGGATCTTGTAAGCTTCCTTAGGTTCCTTGTTAAAGGAAAGGGGTTATGAATGATTATGGTTATTAATCGTAACTGTAACCATAATTCTAAACTATAAAACAGCCCTAAATAAATCATAAATTGGTGTCATGATAGAATTCCCTTCCATATTCTGAAAGAACTGTAAGGTAAATTGCACATGAAAAAACATGGCATAGAAAACCAGATCTGCTCCTTCACTAGTGGAGATGCAAGTACAGTAAATAAAAAGCAAAGATAGCAATTAATTGCAGGCCTTTCTGCTTGCTCACAGGTTAGCTGTCTATTGTGGCACTTTTGCACCCTCAAATCTGGGTGGAATCGCCCATGCCTCCCTTGTTTCTAAGAGAGGCTAGAGAGGCCAACAAAGCTGGCCATCAGTGCTGATTCCGGGTTTTCTAGGACCCTGGAACAAGACACCCTCAACAAGCCTCCCCTCACGGTGCACCTGCCATTGTCACGTTGCCATTGCTCGATTCTCCCCCTTTTTCTCTTCTTTGCCACTGCTTGCTTGCTTGCTTGCTTGATGGGCAGGCTGGGAGCCAGCAAGCAACAGCATCTACCACTCCAATCATGCCTAAGCCCTGGCCCCACTTGCCATATATAGGCCCAGATATGAACTTTGGGGGCTCACGATGCTTGCTCCAAACTGGAGAAAAATTCCCGTACCACCCACCATCCATCTGCTCTTTTGTTACCCAGAACTGTCATCCCCCCTTCCCTCAAAAGAATATTATACCATGAAGGCAGCAATGGCAATACATTGGCCCTGGGCACAGGCAAGGAGGAAGTCCAGTAGCTCTTGGGAAAACGTTTCCCAAAGGCTGATGGAGCCATTCATCCCACTGTGCTACCAATTTGCTGGGCACTGGAGAGAGAAGAAGGGACTCACTTGCATCCAGTGCATCCAGAGCTCCACCACTGCTGCCTTAGCAGAGTTGTTTAGAGCAAGGCAGGAATTGGGGTTGGGAGGGATGTTAGTAGTAGGGGGCTTCATGCTGATTGATTTAGAAATAAGCAAACCTATTTCCCTTTTGTCAGGAGAGGGGATAGGAAACAACTTAGTTTATGTCCAAACTGATCTTGTACAGTCACATCACAGTCTGTACCTTCGTGACAGGCAGAAATTCAGGCTAGTGAGACTCTTCCTGGCACAGAGGGGTAACCAAGAGGTAACTTGCACCCATTTAACTTCTGGATGTTGTACTACTACATCATCCTCTGCTAGGAAAAAGAAAGTTAGTGACTGTAATCGTATGTCTGAGCCATCACTATAATGCCAAAAGGAAGGAGGATCAGGAGGATTTAACTTTTGGTAACTGCTCAGAGAGCTTCGGCCATTGGGTGGTCTACAAATAAATAAATCTAACTCATAAAGCACCTGGCACAGGGATGGTGAGCCTATGACCCTTCAGGCACTGTCGGACTGCAACTCCCATTTCCATCACCAATTGCTACGCTGCATGGGGAGTGGGGGTGTTCAGGAGCTGGAGTTTAATAATATCTGGGGAACCACAGGTTCCCCACTTCTATGCCTGATGCCTTCTAACTGTGTCCACTGGAAGATACAGACAATCCCTGCCTGCCAGCTCACAATCTTGTAGACACCATATGAAAGGGAAAAGGAATGCAGCACTGGAGCAGCCACACTTTTACCGTCGATGGATGTGGCGAGGTTGCTCTGCCCATTTTCATGATACTCTTCCTAGAAGATGGGGTGTGCAGCCTCCCTCGCTCTCCTTGATGATCTTTTATGCAGATCCTTAAGCAATCTGGCCCTTGACAGTACACCATGTGCCAGAGCAGACATTATCTCATTCATTTGTGCAGGCTCATCCATCAGCTCTCTCTGTCACTTTCTTGTAAATATGCAGAGTCTCCTCTAGTCTGATCCACAAACCACAAGTCAGCCTTCCCAAGGTGTGGGTCCTCCAGATGTATTGTGCTACAGTTTGCTTTACAGTTCTTTTTCTGCTCTAAGCATTTAATGTGCCTGCTGAAGAAAACACTACTTCGAAAGGTCCTTTTGTCAGCAATACCTCTGTTGGTGATCTTCCTGGAAACTGTCACTCTGGAAGGCCCTTGGTATACCCATGCCAAGTGGAAATCCCTTAGTCTCCCCAAGATACGCATTAATACCATGGAGAGATCTCTCCATATTCACCAGCCCAGTCACCGTGGTCTTTGTCTGAAGCCCTCCCCTGTATCCCTCCCTCTAATAAAGTGAGGGGCAAGCTTGCAAGGAAGAGGGCTTTCAGTCACAGTGCCCCAGCTCTGAGATTCAATCCTGCTGAAGGTTCAGCTGATGCCCACTCATCTTTCTTTTAGACACCAATTTAAGATGTTTCTGTCCTATTGTTATTTTAACAGGTGAATTGTTGTCTGATTTTTAATGATGATTAAAAGATTTTATTCCATTTTATTCCATTAAATGCTTCTACCTTGTGATTCTATTAAATTTTGCTACATATGGACATTATGTTTTAATTGGTCTGTATTTTTATTTTTTTGGATCCCCATGTATGTATTATATATTTTGACTTATTTAATTTTAGTAGCTTTTATATATAGATTTGTATGATCAGTTTTATTGTGAGTTGTTGATTTTATTGTGTTGTAAGCCACCCAGAAAGCCTGTGGGGTAACGTATAAATTAATTAAATAGATAAGAGGCAGCTGAACCTCTTTCTATCCAAGTGCAAGCAGCAGGACATTTTGGGGATCAAATCCCATCTGATGAGATAAGCTTTCATCCATGAAAGCATGCTTTGCCACAAAAGAGTTGATTGTTCTCTCATTCCAGAAGACCCATGTTTTTTTGGAAACTCTGGTATTCTCAGCTCACCCTGTGTGTACAGAGGGGAATCTCCTGATTCAGTGGTTATTCTCACTTGGAAGGGACGGCATGGTGGGGAGTACATTAGGCACAATGACCTAATGCAGCCTTGCTGAACATGGTGCCATCCAGATGTTTTAGAATACAATTCCCAACATCCCAGCCAGTAGTAGTTGTACATCCAGACAGCACAGGGTTGGGGAAGGCTGGGTTAACTTAATGATTTTAGAGGAAGGACAATACAGTCACTGAAAACAGAATGGTGTCACTGGAGTTCTACCTGGATTGTGGTGGAGAAAGCCTTCTGTTCCTGTGCAGCTTTAGTTTACTTACCTATTATCAGTATCAGATTTATGACCTTGCTCTCACCCTTGGTGTGTCCATAGGATATGTTGAAATGGCTTATGGTGCGTTATTAAAGTGGTGGTAAAAATCTCATAGCCACATTGAAAGTCTCACCCTCATCTCAGCAGTAGTCTCCCTGCTTTTCCAATTTTTTTAAAGTAAATCTATTCTTTTGCAGTGAGGAAACACAATTGATGCAGGGAGCAGAGTCATTAAAAGACCTTGACAATCCAGATACTGAAAGAACATTGCTTTTTCCCAAGGAAGCAGAGAGGTAAGGCTGCAAAGATTAATGTAATCCAGAAGCTTTAGAAGAGAGAACAAAAGAAGACACTTCTCGGGCATTAATAGCCAGTTAGGATAAATGGAGGTCCACAGGGCTACTGGATGGGAAATCATGATTGGTCTTTTATCTTCATGAAGTACCCACCTGTAACATTGGTGCTGTTTCTACTGAGGAAATGGAGTATGGAATATATATAGAAGAATGGACGTCACTCGCTGCCCGGGCCTATCAAGGTTTAAGAAGGATGGCCATCTGTTCTCACTTGTACAGCTCAGTAGTGAAGTCAAGGACTGAAGCAACAATCCTATAAAGTGTTTCAAGCTGTGCCGCATAGAAATTCTGTTTCCCTACCCCCCCCCCCCAAACCAACAGACCTGACAAGAGGCCCTTGGTTTGCATATTATACAGGGTTTTGATACCTGAGTTACAGCATTTTCATTTAAGGTGGGGGAGACGGGTGGGAAGAACAGCAGTGAAATGGGTGCATGGCAGCCAGTTGCACAAGTTTTAGAAAGAGCCATTCTCTGAAGAATAGCAAGCCGTGCCTCTCTCTGAACCGGTGGCTGCAGACTATGATTGCAGCGGCAGTCATGCAGTGGCATGATTAGCGTGGTTCTAGGGTCCACATAGAGGGTGCCAGATTCAGAGCAAAGGGATGTTCTCGGTTTTGGAAGCAAATGTAGAGCAGACTAAGATGGCAATGTAATTCTCTCAATATCCAGTTCTAAGGTAGCTGTCTCTAGAAATATTATCAAGAGGTGAATTGCTACTCTAACAGTCACTGCAACATCTCCCCTTCATTTCATATTAAATTCTTGTTAATCAGCCACACATTACTGTGAGGCAGAGGAACACTGTGTTTGCAGTTGGAAAATGGACAGGAGGGGACATTTGAAGTCTTCAACATCACTGGCTATTTGGATCTGTGAATGCAGGTCTGCCTGCATGGACAAACGTTTGGCGGGTCGGGTGAGGAGGGGGGCAGTCCACTGGCCAATTTCAGCAACTCTGACGGTGCTGCTTCCTTTTCCTCCACTGTCGAAAAGCTTAGGGAGGGGGCTTTGGGGATTTCCCAAGGCGTGTTTTGCTGGAATTTATTTAGGCATTTTGTTGTTGTGCAAGAAATCAGTTTGGAAAGTTATTTTGGTGTATTTAGAAAATTCAAAGTAGCTGAGACATTGCCCGCCTCAAATAGAAAGAGGGTTGAGGACCACATTATTTTTAAATGTGGGTCTACCAGATGTGTCTTTTTGTCCTCACGTTTATTTTGGAATATGTGCAGAGCCCCCAGTCCAGATGTGTGTGTGTGTGTGTGTGTGTGTGTGTGTGTGTAGGGTGGATGTGTGTGTGTGTGTAGGGTGGAGCTTTGAAAATCCAGATTAGGACCCTAAGGTGAGTATGCGTACAGGAAGCGAGCTTTGATTGGGGGCCCTCCTTTCACATAAAAGTGAAAAGAAGGCATTGCTGCTGGACACGTTTAAAGTAATGCCTCATTGGGCACTAAGCCACACAAACCTGATTTCACCTTCAACTTTAGTGCCATTAGCCAAGATCAAAAGTATACCCTTTGCAATTACTCCCACTGAAATCAATGGTATAGGCAGCCAAGTTAAGATTGAATGTCTTCACTTGACTCCTTCCCATGATGTGGAATAGTTATTACTTTGGCTAAAACACTATGCAATAGTTAGATTTCTTCCCCATAAATAATCAGTTCTAGAGACATCCCCTCTTCATGGATCACTGCCTTGTCGTGGCGAAGGGGCTTGCATAGCTCAATGAAGCTATGAGCTATGCCACGCAGGGCCACCCAAGATGGACAGGTCATAGCAGAGAGCTCTGACAAAACGTGATCCACTGGAGAAGGAAATGGCAACCCACTCCAGTATCTTTGCCATGAAAACCCCATGGACAGTACCACAAGGCAAAAAGATATGATGCCGGAAGATGAGCCCCTCAGGGTGGAAGGTGTCCAATATGCTACTGGGGAAGAGCAGAGGGCTAGTACTAGTAGCACCAGAAAGAATGAAGCGACTGGGTCAAAGCCGAAAGGCCACTCAGTTGCCGATGTATCTGAAGGTGAAAGGAAAGTCCGATGCTGCAAAGATCTATACTCCATAGGAACCTGGAATGTAAGATCCATGAATCAAGGCAAGCTGGATGTGGTCAAACAAGAGATGACAAGACTGAACATCGACATCTTAGGAATCAGTGAACTAAAATGGACAGGAATGGGTGAATTTAATTCAGATGACCATCAGATATACTATTGTGGGCAAGAATCCCTCAGAAGAAATGGAGTAGCCTTCTTAGTCAATAAAAGAGTAGGAAATGACAGAATGATCTCAGTTTGAATCCAAGGAAAACCATTCAACATCACAATAGTCCAAATCTATGCCCCAACCACTGGTGCTGAAGAGGCTGAAGTTGACCGGTTCTATGAAGGCCTACAACACCTTCTAGAATTAACTCCAAAAAACGATGTCCTTATCATCATGGGGGATTGGAATGCTAAAGTAGGAAGCCAAAAGATAACTGGAATAACAGGCAAGTTTGGCCTTGGAGTACAAAATGAAGCAGGGCACAGGCTGGTAGAATTTTGTCAAGAGAATACGATGGTCATAGCAAACACACTTTTCCAACAACTCAAGAGACGACTCTACACATGGACGTCACCAGACGGTCAACACAGAAATCAGATTGACTACGTGCTCTGCAGCCAAAGATGGAGAAGCTCTATACAGTCAGTAAAAACTAGACCAGGAGCTGACTGTGGCTCAGATCATGAGCTTCTTGTTGCAAAATTTAGGCTTAAATTGAAGAAAGTGGGGAAAAGCACTAGACCACTCAGGTATGACCTAAATCATATCCCTGATGAATATACAGTAGAGGTGACAAATAGATTTAAAGAATTAGATCTGATAGACAGAGTGCCTGAAAACTATGGATGGAGGTCTGCAACTTTGTACAAGAGGTTGCAATTAAAGCCATACAAAAGAAAAAGAAATGCAAGAAAGCAAAATGGCTGTCTGAGGAAGTTTTACAGATAGTTGAGGAAAGAAGGGAAGCGAAAGGCAAGGGAGAAAGAGAAAGATACAAACAATTGAATGCAGAATTCCAGAGAATAGCTAGAAGAGATAAGAATGCCTTCTTAAGTGAACAGTGCAAAGAAATAGAAGAAAACAATAGAATAGGGAGGACCAGAGATCTCTTCAAGAAAATTGGAGACAGGAATGTTTCATGCAAAGATGGGCATGATAAAGGACCAAAATGGCAGGGACCTAACAGAGGCAGAAGAGATTAAGAAGAGGTGGCAAGTTTACACAGAAGAACTATACAAGAAAGAGCTTAACGTCCCTGATAACCACGCTGAGGTGGTCACTGACCTCGAGCTGGACATCCTGGAATGTGAAGTCAAATGGGCCTTAGGAAGTCTGAGCAGCAACAAAGCTAGTGGAGGTGAAGAATGAAGAATGTTTAAACTACTGCACCATTGCACTCATTTCACACGCTGCTCAAAATCCTACAAGCTAGGCTCCAGCAGTATGTGGACCACGAACTACCAGAAGTACAGGCAGGATTTCGAAGAGGGAGAGGAACTAGAGATCAAATTGCCAACATA